AAGTGGCATTGTACTTACCAAAATCAACACTGGTGACTAGAATTCAACAGGGTAAAGTCTTTTAAATTCTGAAGAAAATGATATTTTTAAATAAATTATTGCAATCCCAAATTTTACAGCCAGGTAAAACATTAATTGAATGCAAGAGAAAGACTGGAAAGAAAATRGAAAATACCTCTTTAGTATGACCTTTCTAAAATGTTATATGAAAAATATGCTCCATTGAAATGAGGCGGGGAGGGGGGAAAGAGAAGCAAATTTTAAAAAAAGAAAAAGAAATGTGGGAGATCAAGAAGATGACCAGGAATTCAGGAAGGTACCCCTAGTGGGGAAAGGAGAAATAGTCTAAGAAGCTCAAATTTCATTCTGTAGACATTGGAGCAAGCAGGGGGTTTCAAGCTGGTGAGCAAAACAATGAGATCATGTTTTAGAAAGAACAYCTGTACTAAGTTGGAAGGTGGGATTAATAAAAGATATTTCTGGCACCATCTTGGAATTTTTGCAAGGTTTGGGTGAAAAGTAATTCAGACTCAAACTAAAACCGTAGCAATGAGAACCAGCTAAGCTGGCATTGGTGGGTCGAGGGAGCACAATTGCATTTTACTATAGATTTTTACAGCATGAATCTAAGACAAGGTCAAGAAAGACTCCATGAGGACACTGAAGCTTCAAATCCTGAGATGTGGTGGATAGACGATAGGAAATAAAATATATCAATAGGTTTAGAGGGAAGATTCATTCCATTGGGGATATTTTGAGTGGAGAGGAAACACGACATCTATTGGGTAATATAAAGGGGCTTCTGCTTTCCTTTCTGATATCACCCAGAATGTCTTTTTAAAAGTGTAAGAGAAGATAAATTTTCAACAAGAAAATAAAAGGATAGTAGTTGCTTGCTTGACCCTGTAAATGTAAAGTAGTACAAGGAGAGCAACCTGCATCAGGAAGTAAACAGGATCACTGTAGCAGCAATGGGCTTAATGGATACTTAGAGTTACAGCAGGTCCCTGAGATGAGGTTGGAGAGCTAGTCAAAGGCCAGACCTGCAGGACCTTGAGAAATATAGTATAAAGAGTGAGGCTGGGGATATGGCTCAAGCAGTAACGCGCTCGCCTGGCATGCACGGGCGCTGGTTCGATCCTCAGCACCACATAAAAATAAAATAAAGATGTTGTGTCCACTGAAAACTGAAAAATAAATATTAAAAAAATTTTTTAAAAAAAGAGTGGATGTGTTTTAGTCAGCTTTTTTGCTTCTGTGACTAAAGGACCTGATCAAAACAACTGTAGAAGAGGAGAAGTTTATTTAAGGGCTCACAGTTTTAGGTGTCAGTCCATAAGCAGCTGGACCCATTCCTCTAGTGAAGCTGAATATCATGGAGGAAGAGTGTGACAGAGGGAAGCAGCTCACATGGTGATCAGAAATGAGAGAGAATGAGAAAGGGGCGGGGGTGGGGGTAATCTTGATGAATATAGTATATCCAGGTAGTCTCCAGGTCTTCCAAGCTGAGCCGCACACATCACAGAGCAAAGACACCGTATCCCCACCATGCCCTGTTCATATTCCTGATCCACAAAGCTATTCTTTTATTTTGGGGCGGGGGGATGGAGTATTAGGTCTCTGGAAGCATTAACATTCCAATGCCAGGGCAGGCCTCCACTGATGGCTTGTCTGTAAATTCTTGCTTCATTTGGAACCAACATGCCTTGTTTCTTTGTCTAAATTTTCGTATCTGCCTTCTTCATTAAAAAAAAAAAAATGTTTTAAGAAATGAGAGGTGCTTCTAAATGAACTCTATGGAGCATCTTACCTAATACAGACTCCTGAGCTCCACCATAAGAGATTATTTAATTCATTTGTTTGGGGATGTGGCTGAGTCTGTAACGCAGATGATTCTGATGCTGGGGTCCAGGGTAGTGCTTGGATGGTAAATGCTGATTTTCAAAATGGTAACCTACCAGTTTCTCCCACAAATATCTGCCTCAGTGATATTTCCACAAGTTAGATCACAATAAGGCACCAAATTCTTTGACATGMCTTCCATTAAGAGGTGGGTTCTATATCCCCTGCCCTTGAATTCACTAGTTCTTTTAGACTCTGCTATACCTGAGAAGTCCAAGCCATATGGAGCAGCTATGAGCTCTGCCTTTGAATCTGTTCCTCAGACMCGCCAAGGAAGGAGCCTGTAGGTCATTCCAGCCTCCAGCAATCAGGACACTGTTAGAAATACTGAGGTGCCGCCAGAAATCAAATACATGCTTAAAAGTGGGTGGGCATGTGTTTTAGTCAGCCTTTTTGCTGCTGTGACCCAACCAGCACAATTATAGAGAAGAAAAGTTTTATTTGAGAGCTCACGGTTTCAGAGGTCTCTATCCATAGAAGACAGGCACCATTTCTCAGGACTGGAGGTGAGGCTGAACATCACAGCTAGAGAGTGTGGCAGAGGGAAGCAGCTCACATCATGGTGATCAGAAAGCAGAGAGAGAGACTCCAAGCACCAGAAACAAATAGATACCCCAAAGCCACGCCTCCAATGCCCACCTGCTCCAACTACACCCCACCTGCCTTCAGTTACCACTCAGTTAATCCCTCCGGGTGATTAATTCAGGCTCTCCTAACTCAGTCATTTTTTTCTCAGAACCTTCTTGCATTGTCTCACGTGAGCTTTTGGGGGACATCATACATCCAAACCATACAGCAAGGCAAACTTTACTTCTGCCAGAAGGGYGAGCTACAGAACCAGGCTGGGAGCCAGGTTAGCAAGTGTGCCTGTCCAAGGTCCTCCCTGGCTGCTTATATCCCTCATGGGGCACTGCCCTTCATCCTGATTGGAGGAGCTCAGGGTTACAGTTTATGTGATTGGCTAACTTTAAAATTGGGGCAGGCAAAGAGAAAGGCTATAATTAAAATGGCTACACAATTGGATCCAATTAAGGCTGAATACTATATTCTGAAAATAAACCACCAGATTTTCTATTTCTCACAGTCACCTCAGACTTCAGGTCTTCCCAGCTGAGCAGAGATACCCGCATCCTCACCATGCCCTATCCACAAAAGCTATTCTTTTGTGGGGGGGAGGGCAGTGGAGTACCAGGGATTGAATTCAGGGGTACTAAACCACTGAGCCACATCCCCAGCCATACTTTGTATTTTATTTAGAGATTGGGTCTTGCTGAGTTGCTCAGCACCTCACCTTTGCTGAGGCTGGCTTTGAACTTGTGATTTTCCTGTCTCAGCCTCCTGAGACGCTGGAATTACGGCTGTGCACCACCACACCCTGCCACAAAAGTTATTCTTATAATAAAAATATTATGGTTTCATGTCACTTCATTTTGGAGTGTTTGGCAATGCAGTAACTGAAACTTTACAACTTTACAGTTTTGGAATATTTTGCGGTGCAATCACTGAAAGTTTTCTCCAGGAATATCTACTAAAATGCAAACACTCCTTGGAAGGATAAATTCTTTCAGATAACATGTAAGCAGTGTATCTAGCAAGTAGCTAAGCAGGGAGAATGAGCTAAGATATGTTTTCTTTTCTCATTGACCTGAAAGCACCATGGGCAAAGAGATATATATATGTAGCTTCCAGAAAACTGGAGGCAAAAAGATGGCCATACCTTGAAGTCAACTTTGCTAAAAGAGTAGATGAGGCAGCAGAATGAAATCCAGCTTGACTTACTCCACAGCTGTACTAGAGACCAGCTCCAAAACCCCTCCAACAGCTCTCTCACTAATTGTAAAGGTGTTTATGCCAATTTCCCAAACTTATTTGCCTAATGTTTGAAATCACCTAGAGATCACATAGTAACAAGCACCACAAGTCATGCTTACCACCAGGCAAGTTTGGAAAATATTAAATGACAGAATTTTATGTCAAATACAAACCAAGATAGCAAATGTGTAATCTTGCCTCACAAGAGTCACAATTCTGCAAGGATAATGGGGTTAATTTGTGAGCTTTGTGTTCATACAAATAAACAACAACAACAACAACAACAACAAAATAGTAGAAAGTTCTGGAAACCTTGGACCTTGAAAATTTAAATCCCACCTAAGCCCTATTATAATCATGTGCAGAAAGAAGCTGAAAATATTAGAATTCATTTGCTAATCAGAAACTACTAATTATGTTACATTTAAAAATGTAAAGACTTTCCATAAGGAATGCTTAGTAAATATTTTCATTTATAAAATATAAAATAAGAGGGATGCTAGGTTAAATATTCATGGTTTTATTCAATCTATTATCTAGTCCTAGTAAAAATGATAGAGCAAGACATATAACRTGGACTCTCTGGATTGAGAGAACAAAGATTGTCAATTAAAGGCCATCTACTTTAGTAATTAACATTATTACACAATTTCCAGCCTCCACCACTTCTCCCTCCCATAGTTTGTGAAAGTGATTTTAGTCTCATTTCTCATTTTCTTTATAGGTATACATTACAGTCTTCTAAAGAAACTGGAGGGGGCATTGTTCTTAGTCACGGATTCGAAATGTAACTGGCTAGGACTTTCAAGTTCCACATTATTCGAATCATTTTCACCATACTGTTGTTGACCTAGATCAGTCCAAAACTCTCACAGAGACTCGTCACAATTTAGGTCCCATTGAGCCTGTTCAATTTTATTTCTCTTGCCTCTTAAGGCCATTTACGAGTTGCATGGTGTCATTTTGCTGAGTAAACTTGACACCCATCTCTGATTCCAAGAGCTCTCACATATTCTGAGGGATAGAATAAAATGCCTGCAGAAATAGTATTTGTGTTGGTGGATTCCAAAATTTCCAGCAATAAAAATGGGAATTGCTATGACATATTGATGTAGAAGCCTAGTACCCCTCCTTGGACCAGGGAGTCTATGTAAAGAAGTGAGTTACATATTCAGTAGCTAAAAGGAGCTCCTTGTTGATCTGGGGTCTGTTTGACCTTCTGGCCAAACATAGAAGACCCTGGCTGCTCACTGCCTCTCTGTGTTGTTCTGTTCTCTGTGTTCCAGGGACGTGTCTTACACCAGTGTTACTGCCCTGCCGTCYAAAGGCCTGGAGCACCTGAGGGAACTGATAGCAAGAAACACTTGGACTCTTAAGAAACTTCCACTTTCCTTGAGCTTCCTTCACCTCACACGGGCTGACCTTTCTTATCCCAGCCACTGCTGTGCTTTTAAGAATCAGAAGAAAATCAGAGGGTAAGTGGTAGGGACCCAGAAAGGGATGAGAGGCCATGGTAGATGCTGAGTTAATTTCTGGGTTTGGGGAAGAATCTCTGTGGTTTGAAAAGCAGGTGGAAAAGAATTGGAAGCATCTGTATGAACAGGAAATCTAGGGGCACAATAACTCGGAAGATGCYGAGTGGTTGCGGGCGAGAAAGAAGGTCAGTGTCTCTGAATAGTAATAGCCGAGGTGAGGTTTAGTAAAAGATGGCATAGTAGGGACAGGTGTGACCAGGTCATGTAGCACCTTGTAAAGGTTACAAGACGTGACTTCTGGCCTCCAGATGCAACACATCAACGACACCACAACCACAAGGACACACTTACCAACAACGCATGCAGTTGGAGTACCTGATCTGTCAGGACTTTGCACCTGTCATAACTCGCTGGTTGCATGTATATTGTTTYAGAATCAGCTCGGCTTGTATCCCAGCCCTGCCAGTTTCTAGCTGTTATCCCAGCATGTCTTAAAAATGTTTTATATCTTTACCTGTTCTCCTAAGTCCACCTTCATTAATCTCTTATTCAGGCCCCCTCAGCCTCTCTGTAAGTGTCTGCAARTTGACTTTCTACACTCATGTTTGTAGTCAGAAAAGAATTGGGACTAGTTGTGGGGGCAGAAGCAAAGTGGCAAGTTAAACAACTGTGCAACAGGTGTAATGGCTGCAGAAAACTAGAAGTGGGGCAAGAGGATGGAAGCAGCAGACTATACTGACTCCATGTGGCACTAAGTAGGAAAGGACCAGGGAGGGATGGAAAGGATCCAGGCTTCTCCTTAACCTCCCAACTGGATAGAAGTGCTAGCCCATTGAACTTTTTTTTTTTTTTTTGGTTGTAGATGAACACAATATCTTTATTTATTTATTTTTATATGGTGCTGAGGATCGAACCCAGTGCCTCACATGTGAGGGGCAGGTGCCCTACCACTGAGCTACAGCCCCCAGCCCCCACTGGACATTTTAACCAGATCTCATTAGGTGAATCAAAACCTGATCAGCAGCTGAAGCAAGGTAAATTCCTTTTGTTGTAAGGAGATCAGGGAAGACTCCTCTGAGAAAGGGACATTTGAGTTCAATATTGAATAATGAGTCAAGGTAGCCACCAGTCTTCAGGCAAAGGGGATATGGAATTCTAGAGCTCTCAGTGGGAATGATAATAACAACAAATAACAATATCCAACATATATATGCACTCCCAGTATTGCAGGTGCTGTTGTAAGAGTTTTAAAAAATATTGATCTACTCCTTTAATAAACTATGTGAAATATCTCATTAACCCACAATCCACGTGAATAAGCCAAGGTTCATAGACCTGACCAGGGAAAACAGCTGGAACTGTAGAGCCAGGTTCTGCCTACCTAGACTAGATAAATATCATGCTCTTTTATTATTGCTGTGCTTGAAGTGGTTATAGAGGAGAAATAAGAGCAATGTCACTGGATCACAGTAGGAAAGGTAGGGGGTAATAGGAAATGGTGTAGGAGAGACCATCCTGGCCAGATCATGTAAAATCTTGTAGAATCATGTACATTATCATAAGCACTGACATCTTTTTCCAAGTGTTGTGGGTCTCCTGATATTAAGCAAATATTTTTTCTGCAACTCATTTTTTCTGCTGCCTTGCAGAATCCTTGAGTCCTTGATGTGTAATGAGAGCAGTATCCGGAGTTTGCGTCACAGAAAATCTGTGAATGGTCCCATCTACCAGGAATATGAAGAAGACGCGGGTGATAGCAATGTTGAATACAAGCAAAACTCCAAGTTCCAGGATATCCACAGCAACTCCCATTATTATGTCTTCTTTGAAGAGCAAGAGGATGAGATCATTGGTTTTGGCCAGGAGCTCAAAAATGCCCAAGAAGAGACTCTACAAGCCTTTGACAGCCATTATGACTACACTGTGTGTGGGGACAATGAAGACATGGTGTGTACCCCCAAGTCAGACGAGTTCAACCCCTGTGAAGACATAATGGGCTACAAGTTCCTGAGAATCGTGGTGTGGTTTGTTAGTCTGCTGGCTCTTCTGGGCAATATTTTTGTCCTGTTCATTATCCTCACTAGCCATTACAAGCTGACTGTCCCACGCTTTCTGATGTGCAACTTGGCCTTTGCAGATTTCTGCATGGGGATATACCTGCTCCTCATTGCCTCTGTGGACCTCTACACGCACTCTGAGTACTACAACCATGCCATCGACTGGCAGACAGGTGCTGGGTGCAACACAGCTGGTTTCTTCACTGTCTTTGCCAGCGAGTTGTCCGTGTACACACTGACGGTCATTACCCTGGAGCGCTGGTATGCCATCACCTTTGCCATGCGCCTGGACCGGAAGATCCGCCTCAGGCATGCCTATGTCATCATGGTGGGTGGCTGGGTTTGCTGCTTCTTGCTTGCCCTGCTCCCTCTGGTGGGAATAAGTAGCTATGCCAAGGTCAGCATCTGCCTGCCCATGGACACTGAGACCCCTCTTGCTCTGGCCTACATTGTTCTTGTTCTGTTGCTCAATATCGTGGCCTTCGTCATCGTGTGCTCCTGCTACGTGAAGATCTACATCACGGTTCGAAATCCCCAGTACAACCCTGGAGACAAAGACACCAAAATTGCCAAAAGGATGGCTGTGTTGATCTTCACCGACTTCATGTGCATGGCTCCAATCTCCTTCTATGCCCTGTCGGCACTTATGCACAAGCCTCTCATCACTGTCACCAACTCCAAAATCTTGCTGGTTCTCTTCTATCCACTGAACTCCTGTGCCAATCCATTCCTCTATGCTATTTTCACCAAGGCTTTCCAGAGAGATGTGTTCATCCTGCTCAGCAAGTTTGGCATCTGTAAACGCCGGGCTCAGGCATACCAGGACCAGAGAGTTTGTCCAAAGAACAGCACCGGTGTTCAGATCCATAAGGTTACCAGGGACATGGGACAGAGTCTCCCCAACATGCAGGATGCCTATGAACTGCTGGAAAATTCCCACCTAACTCCAAATAAACAGGGCCAAATCTCAGAGGAGTATAAGCAAACAGTCTTGTAAGTTGACCCCATAACCACTCACAAATGGTAGGGAGACTTACCAAAGGCTGGTGTCTTGAACATGCACTACAATCTCATAACACACAAACACACAGCTGACCTGACCTTTGTGCAGGTGATGGTTCATGAGGTCATAGTTCATCTCTGGAGAGTGACTAGCATTAAACTAATCACTGCCTCCAAGRAGGAAGAGAAGCCACCAGCACCATCGGAATCCCAGGTGATGTGAAAACAATCTGGGTTCTCTGGAAGACGTGCTTCATGCTAAATTCAGAGATGACCTTGTGTGACATGGTCAACAAGTATAAACTGAACCATTGTTCTTCTTGCCTTTATACAGCATTTCATACTAAAGATTCAGCCAATGGTGACCACAGGATAAAAAACAACCCCATATTGACTCATTCAACTTCACATTCCCTTATACAACCAAAGAGTTTTAATTCCTTAAAGCTGAAAAGATAAAAACAGCTAGATGCCATCCAATATCTGTTATAAAATAGGAAAAGGGGAAAAAGATTAGCTTTGAGTTTTTTTTCCCCCCAGACTTTGAAAGTATTAATCATTTCTTCTCTAGCATCTRCCTGATATTATGTATTGCCTGGAGAAACTGGTAAGATTTCAGTTCATGTGATCTAGAAAACTAGAATGAATCTTATTGGCTATTCTCATAGCATCAAAGATGTGAAACATAGAAAATATTTGGCTAACAAAACAAACTGAACTCCAATTAACTCTAAGCCTTTGGGTAAATCACTAGGCCTCAGAAGTCCGTGGAAATGAAGGATTCTATGGCCTTTTCCATTTAAAATTCTGTGTCTGTCTCTTTCCCTCGAGACAGATTTCCATGACAAAGAGAAATAAGACCACTAGGTAAGTATCATCTATTTTTCCTATCTTGTAGGGTTGTTGTCTCCTTTTTGAAACCCAGACATATGACTCAGGAATATGTCTGCTTCCAAAAATTTCTGAACCGAAATTTCCATTGAATGACTACATTGAGTTGGATCCAAATTATTTATCTCATTGCTATATTGCTATAATCATCAGGCCAAAACCAGATTGGTATTGATATAAGAGAACAAAAGTCCTGCAAGTTTCAATTACTTAGTTACTACTTTACTTTGCCAAACCACTGCTAAGCACTTAACTTGTCTTCAGGGATTGGTATCTTAAAAATTTCCAGCCCACAATACGACACTTAAGCTGTCAAGAGAGAGGTGTCTTCTCTTCTGATACTCCTGCTCTTCCCAATCCTGTTGACCACTGGATATAAACCTTTATTCCCTGACAGTGCTTCCTTACTTAAAATCACCAGGAGCTTCATCTTGGATTTTCTTGCCAGGTTATCAGTCATGGTACCCCTCTAATTTCTTGCTAGAAAAGAGTCCCCAAGCAGAGATGGTGTTTGCTTCTCAGGACTGATGAACCCCAGCATAAACCTTTTGTTATTCTATGTTGAGAGCCACAGCCGAAGGGGCCCCAGCAAACTTCCAGCTGCCAGCAAACTTTCAGACTGCCAGCTGATGATTGGCTCACAGCGGCCCCAGCAACATCTAACTGATTGGCTCCTCTGCGGTGATGCTCATTGGGGTGTTTCTTTGGCTCCGCCCACGCAACCCAGCCAATCGGCCTCAAGAGCAGGAGGATTGTGGGAGGTGGAGAGGCTGGGGTGTGGGTAAGAGGCTTGTGGGAAGCCGGTGGTGGCAGTTGGGCTCTGAGGGTTTTTCCTGAGGAGCTGTTTTGTTTGGCGTGTGTGGTTCTAAAAATAAAGTTCGTTTATTTTGACAAGTGGCTCCTGAATCGTGCCCAGCCAGACTGGGGCAATTCTAGATTTGTGGTGTAAGGTAAATGGTCCTGCAGAGATGGTCCTTTCCTGGGACATTCACCTGGAATATGTTCACAACCATAACCATCACTGACACTTGCACATCTTAGTAAATCTCACAAAACAACTAAAATTGTGGCTTTCCTAGTAGTTCATATGTAACTAATGAAATTAAACAAGTGTGTTACCACTTGGCATGTGTTTCTCTCCTGTGGCATTTTGAAATATCATGTCTTCATAAATAATGTGTTTTATCTTAAGTAGTTGAACTAGTGCTTTGGAGACAGAGTCCTACAAAATAGACTTCAACGAGATTGTTACTAAAATTCGCATCCTCAACATAATAAAATAAATGTTCTTTCTATAAAATGATCGTTCGGAGTCCTACAGCATTGTTCTTTCCATTGTGTGTTTCTTTGGGGGTTAACATTATGTGTGTTAAAACTAAAGAGAGGGAAGGACAATTGGCTCATTTGCTAATGAATCCTTATTAGTAAACAAATAGTTGACTATCAATAACTTAAGCATAACATTGGATCTTGACTGTAAGTGGTCTCAATGTGAAAAAAAAAACTTAACTTTTAGTGAACTATGATTCTTCCATAATGATGATGGCTAAGAGAAAAATAGTAAAACAAATATATCAAGCAAAAGATTAGCGTTGGTACTAGGAATTGAAGCAATATTCTAATGAAAGTAATAAGTCTATAAGTCCTTTCTAGAGTTCACGTTAGCTGGGATCTTTCAATTATTTGAAGACAGATCCAAATCAGTGAGGTTAAAAATTCATGCCCTAYTGAAAACAGGAGGGTCGCCAGTTCAAAAACAGCCTCAGCAAGGGTGAGGCACTAAGCAACTCAGTAAGACCCTGACTCTAAATAAAATACAAAATAGGGCTGGGGTGTAGCTTAGTGGTTGAATGCCCCTGGGTTCAATCCCTGATACTCACCCCCCAAAAATTGATGCCCTAAAGCTCACACTTGTTGCTCAAAACATTCTCAAATTTAATGACTTGTTTTATGGATAAGCTATTATGTGTAACAGAAAYAGGTAGTTAGAAGAGGAACCTATATTACAGGCAGCACCATGAGAGTGGCAATAAAGGAAAAATCAGGATAAAAAGGAGAAAATAAAAATCACAAGCATTTTAAAAGCAGTAATAGTTTAAGACCAAATACCCCTACCTACTTGAAGTCTTTGGAAGGAATCGTATTATAATAGAGTGGAGTGATTCTTACTCATTCTGAACACATGAGGAGACAAGACACACTTGCTGGTAGCAGTGCATTCTGTTTTAAAATGCTACGAAAGTTCCAGCTCAGCATGATGCCCTACACCCACCAATCTTCCTCTTTCAAATTCCACTGAAATGACAGTGGGGAAGTAGACCATGAGGTCAAGCTGAATATGCCTAGCAAACTGGACGCTTGGAACCACCAGCAAACTAAAGACTCGGGTGGCTTTCTGAAAGTGGCAAGTAAGGCTTGGAGTGGATGGGTAACTCAGAACGGAGGAGTCGGCAGCCTCCACCACACTCACAGAATCAGGCTGCAGCTGTGAAAAGATGCCTTCTTCCCTGAGACCCGGAGCCTGAAGGTTATAGGACTGAGTGGATATCTGGGGTCATTAATTGAAAGTCTGTCACTTGGCATCTCTTCCATCCAGTGTGTGCCCCAAGTCAAATCAGGATCTTTAAAGAAGGCAAATGACCAGTGTAGACAAGGAATCCAGTCCAATCACTCATTTCCTGTCTTTGCAACACAAATTGAAGCCTCATCCTTGACACAGAGGCGTCACTGTGTAGCTCTGTGGTAGAGCACTTGCCTGGTACCTGAGAAGCCCTGGGTTTGATCCCCAGTACCACGAGGAAAAAAAAAAAAAGAGAGAAAGAGATGTCACCACCAGTATCCCTTCTGTCCAGGTAGGGAGAGGTGTCATGGGAGGAAAATTCATACCATCTGCCAACATTAACTATCCTCATCCTTTATTCAGAAATGTAAATGAGCCACCAAGAATGTGACAACTTGAAGAAAATGAATTGCACATTAATAATAGCACACAAAAAATCAAAAATGAACAAAAAGAACATTTGTCCAGAGAAAATAAATAATTCAGAAACAAAATACCAGGTTTAAATTTCCAATTAATAGCATTAGAGAAATTTGAGAAAATAATAGGCCCCACAACAATAGCAACCTAYGTTTTTTGTTTGTTTGTTTTAAGGTAGTGCTCTAGAGTTAGGAGTTTTGTCAAATTTGACAAAGCAAGAATTTAACAGAGGAATGGAAGTCAAAGTAGAGGATATTTCCTAGAATGTTGATGAATAAAGATGTGAGATAAGAGATAAAAGTTGAAGTATATAGAGAGCTGGTCTCCAAGTCCAACATCTGTCCAATTGGACAYCGAGAGACAGCATGGAAGACATTATAATCAAGGAATAGAAGAGGAAATTTTCTTCAACAGATAATGATTGATAGTGTCCATTTAGTGCTAAAGAGGATTAATGGAAAGACTCATTTGTAGAATAGGACTTATAACATGTTGGACTCTCAGAAGTGAGGGGTGAGCCTAAATTCTTAAGAGAAAAATCAGCTATTGGGTGGGACTAACAGACTGCCATTTCACTTCTCATTATCAACAATGCATACCAGGGACAAGGGAGCAGCACCTTCAATGACTTCAGAAAAACTAGTTTAAATCTAGACTCTTAAATCCACCCAACTTTAATCCAAATGTAAAGGCAAAATAATGACATATTTATATAATAAATAAGCAAGTACTTCATTTAATTATGTAAGACCCATGATTTAAAACTTTGAATTAAATAAAAATATAGCTGGATGGTTTTTTTTTAATTGCATATTGGGTTTAACTTTTTAAGTTGACTCAGTAGAGGCTTTTTATTTTATTTTAGTTTTGGTTTTTTGCAGTACAAAATACTTTGAACCCAGGGATGCTCTACCACTGAGCTATATCCCCAGCCCTTTAAAATTTTTATTTTGAGGCAGGGTTTTTCATAGTTACCAAGGCTGACTTCAAACTTATGACGCTCCTGCCTCAACTTCCCAAGTAGCAAGGATTACAGGCATGAGGCACCTGCATCTGGCTTTATCTGAGAGATTTAAATAATACCTGCATTGTTTATGACCCACTGGACATTAACCACTTATGTA